TTTTAGTGTAGCCCAGGGGTTGGCAAACTACAGCCCTACAGCAAAGTCCAGCTTAATGCTTGACTTTGCAAATAAAATGTATAAAATAAATATGCATTTATGTTATGTGTTTGCTGTGGCTGCTTTCCTACTCAATGGCAGACTTCAGTTGTTCCAACAGATACCATCTGGCCCACAAGCCTAAGATATTTATCTGGTCTTTTACAGAAAGTCTCCTGACTTCTCGTCCAGGGAAAAGCAAGTCCATTAACCTACAAGCAGCGATAAATGAGTCATTTCTGTCTGCATGAAAACTCATGTTTCCTCAGAGACTCATAGTCACTACTCATTATAATAAGGGGGATGCTATCCAAGAAATTGGAACTAATCTTAAAGGCCCTCTCTCAAAAGTATAATAATATATTAATCCTTATCACCATCAGAAATGAGCATTTTTTGTAGAGTACTTAACTTAGTCATATAGATAGATATATGTGGTCCTTTAACAGCCTTCTAAAAAAACACTTTATATTGCCTCCCTTTTATATTTATTTCTCTTTGCTCTGCCAGCCCCATCTGCCCTAAGAGTGATACTAGAAAAGCGAAGTCGGTTAAGGCATGTCAGGATTAGGTTTTGAGGATGCAGATTGACCAGGATGATTTTCAAAAAAGAAAATCATCTAGGAAACTCAAGAGGTCTCCTGTGTTGTTGGTACTGGGATGATTAGAACAACCCTGCAGGTGATTTGTCCTCCTAGTACCTGCCTCCTTCCAAGTGCACAGGTAAAATCAGAGTGGCATTGCAAGCTGAATCGTTGGGTTTCTCAGGTGAGCACTAGCCTTACAAGTCTTTATGCATTTAATTTTGTGTTCCTTGTTGAGGATTTTAATTGATAGGACAAGTTAGAGAATCCTGTCCATTTCTTATACCTTTTATCAGTTTTTTGCCAGTGGTTATTCGAATTGTCTGCTGCACCATTTGTGCCTTCAGGCACATGCATCAAATGTCCATGTTTCTTAAAATCAGTATCCAGTTTTACTTGTCTTCCTGTTGATCATCATTGATAAATTGGCCTATGGTAGAAATTTCTACCTCAAGAAAATGTTTTGTGTAATTAAATTAAAAAATTTTTTAATTTAAGTTTTGTAGAGATTAGTAGTTACTAAGTTCAAGACTGAGAAATAGTAGATACCTTATTTTTTTTCTCTATCTTTGGAGATGCTGTGTCATAGCCAATATCATTATTAAGTTGAAATTCCACCTTCCATATTGTTTATTTTTTCAGAAATAGATTTTTCTCTTTAAAATTGTGATAGAGCCATTCTATTAAATACGGTTATGATCTGGGAGTTTAATTATGATGAGATGGCTTAGTTTATAATCATAATTCATGTAAAGAGGACATACTGCATTGATGTTCTGCTTTCTTCCCAATTTCTGATCATTAGATCAGGAAATAATTAAATTGAAGTACTTTTCTCAGTGCGGAATAATGTTAAGGCAGGGTTATTAGTAAGGGCATGTTTTACTTTGGATCTGAAGGTTAATAACTGTGATCATGGTTTTAATCTCGAACAACATTTGTAGGGTCCGCCAGAAGTAATGCCTACATGAGTGTGGTTGGTAGGGTAATAATTTATCGTTTTAATTTGAACATTTCACCTAAAATGTCATATGGTGTGCTTGGGTGTGATATTATTGTTACAGAATTACATGCTTGTGATTCTGTATTAAAAGGTTTTATAATAAAAAGGGGTGTTATTTGTTCTGGACACTGTATATAAAATTGTTACACATGCCAAGGGGATTTGGACAAATTTAAGATATTTTTCAGTTCTATAAACCAAAGAAATATGTACTTCTGTTACGGGTATTTTTGAAGATACCTTTAAATTACCATATTAATACATGAAAATGTTACTAAGTTTTTCACTGAAGCCTTAAGCTACCAATTTTTTAGTGTAATTTTTTTCTCTAAGGTACTTACCCTCTGAATAAAATTTGTTACTTCCGAAGTGCTATCAGTTGCCAAGCTCAAGGACATAAGGGGACATTGAATCTGTTCTTTTGATGGAGTAAATGGGGAAGGCACCATGAAGCCTTAATAGGATGTTAGTTTCTTCTCACATGAGCCATGTATATTTTTAGGAACCTGAACATTTCCTTAAAGTTAGTAGGTAGGCAAAAGCTTCTTAGGGGAAAGAAAGGTACTGTTGAAGTCTGGACATTTGTTAAAATTATAGCTGCTCTTTTCTCAGACATGCTTGACACTAAGTTTTATTCTAAGATTTATTACTTGTTATTGATTTGTATAAAAGCATTCAGAGTTGTAGATTTATGTAGAAATAAAACTCAATTTTTCAGCTTGCTTTCTGTCTAAAAAGCTTTTGGGGGGACATGCCTTATTTTTATGCTTGTATTTATTTAAAATGCAATTACTTTTGTAAAAGTTTCATATTAGACATCTGTACATAAAAGACATAGTTGTATAGTGACAATATGCTTTTACTTTGCCATTGGAAAATTACAAAGAGTCATATTTAGTTGATTTCAGTTGCATATAAATATTTATTCAGTATCCTAAGAACAGGAACGCTTAAATACTCACAGTATAGTTTAATAATTTAACTGCTGCTGAATACAGAATGAACTTATTTCTAAAGTACACACAAATTATGTGATAAAGACATATTTATCATCCATTATTCCGAATTTCATACATAGTCACCAAGCTCTCCAGCTCTTTGTTACTCTGTGATTTAGCTACTAACACAGGTTTATAATTCTTCTGTGTTTATGCAGTCTGTGATTTGATAAAGTTTTTTTCTATTAATGTTAGTTAATTATAGTAGCATAACCAATTTTTGATTATCCATAATGACTGAGGAAAGAGCAGAGCATAAAAAATTGCAATTTGAAAATAATTTTTAAATGTTAGTCAAACCAGTATTTTTACATTTTTTTCTTCACTAACAATTTCTGCAACCCACCCTACCAGTTCAAAAAAATTTTAAGTAATACATGTGAGAAGTAGCCAAATTGACAGCTTGTATCATTTAATTTTAGTTTATTAATCTGGTTTCTGCTAGTGGTACTAAGAGTTAATGACTCATAACTATCAGCAGTTTCAGATAAACCACATGCTGAATAATCCTCTCGAAAAACAGCAGATGAACTGAGCCTTTCCCAGAATGCCTTTTTTCTTCCTTATTGCAAGAGTATATTATTCTGACAAAAAATTGCTACTACAAGAAAACACCATAATAAAGTAAAATACTTGCATATTCTGTCTGATCCATAGAAAATGCTCAAATAATCCTATCAAAGTACTATTTTTCTGATTCTCGTCCTTTTAAATAATGAAGCAATTGTTGGAATTGCTCTTTATATCCTTATTAGTACGGGAACCTTTTATTGTCATTTTTCAATGTTTTCACATAAATAAAAATCCTCATGCTGTTTTCATTGTAGTCCAGGGAGGGAAATCTTAGCCCTTCCATGAAGTAAAATTGCCCTTTAAGATTCATCATATTCGTAACCTCAGTAATTCTAGCTAGTAAAACAAAAACTTCATAAATACTCAAAAAGCAGCCTAAACTAGACCTGCTTGGTTTTAGAGATAAGTAGGTACCTTTTCTCATTGCCTTATTGGAAATTTACACTAATTTATTTATGTTCCCTAACTCACAATTCGTATGTCTGCCATAGATTGTCAGGGAAGGGAATGAATTTTTTGACAGTGACCAGAGCTTTTAAATTCCACCATCAGAAATAATTTATCTTAATAGAGTTCATTTTAAGAGAGTGTTTTTTAACCTATATTTGCAGCCAACATAATTATTAAACTTTGTTTTAGTTTAGTAGTGCTACTTGGCTACAGCAAATGATGGTCCTAAATTTTTTCAAGTTCTTGTATCATACAATTAGTAATGTTTGTTAGATTCTGTGGTTTAATTACCAACATTATTATACTTTATTTTTATATCCATTTTTACAGTTTTTATTTTTTTCTAAAAGCAAAAACTCTGAAAGTAATCACACAAATTTGTAGTCTGCAGTTTGAGCTGTCTTAAAATTTAAGCAGCTTTCCAAAAGGCCTCTTACCACTTGCAGGTAGTGGTCAGGTGACTTTTAAAGAACATTAAAGTTATGCATATGATTACTTAAGAATGTACTGGGAGGAGAAAAGAGGAGACTGGTATTGCTAAGCTGACTAAGTCCTTTACTTTTAACACTTGATTATTATGTATGTTGATATTTTGTGGCACTGTTTAGCATTCTGTTCCAATTCACATGCTGAATTATGCACCAATCATTTCTTTTAAGATATTTTAGAAAAAAGGTTGTAGTACATTTTCTTAAATTGTAACAAGTTTAAAATTTATGAGGGGGGCCCAAATAAACCTGGAATTTACTTATAAACATTGTGTATTTATTCTTAGATGTTTAAACCTCAGTCACCTTCAAAGTACTCTCCATCTGATGCAATACACCTGTGGAGACTTTTTTTCCCACTGCTCAGAAATTTTTGGAATTGTCAATTTTGATGCCTATTAGTGCTTCTGCCATTTTTTGGTTTCATCTCTTCCACATCAGTAAAACTTTCCTTTGAGGACTTTGTCTCATCCTGGGAAACAAAAAGAAAAAAAGTCACTTGGAGTGAATAGGGAAGGAGGGGCACAGGGGTCATGCCGTTTTTGGTCAAAAGCTGCCGAACCCTCAGTGCATTGTGGGCAGGTGCACTTCTAAATCACCCATTGTGAAATGGGCAAATGCGTTGAAAGAGTCTTCAAAAAAATTCGCTGAAGTTGAACACAGCCTCTCACGACAATGCCAGCTGGTCCACTGATAGAGATGGGTTCCTAGACACTCATGTAACAGGGGAGACCTGTATGTACTTCAAGGGGTCTGCCCTCCAGATAATTTCAGGTTTTTTTGGGTCTCCTCTCATACAAGTTTTTCTTAAAGGAAAAATTCTGAGTATTCTAATGACTTTTTAAAAAAATAATTTATTTACTAGGTAAGTTCTCTTCTACGCTTTATGAGACTGGTGGTTGTGATATGTCACTTGTGAATTTTGAACCAGCAGCAAGAAGAGCATCCAATATCTGGTATGTGCGAAATTACTTTAGGAGAGTGTTTGTATTTGCATATATATGCTGTGTTTAAAGTTTGTAGCCTTTATATGTAAATGTTGTTTTGAAATTTTTGTAAAGACTTTATTTATTTATTTTAGAGAGAGAGGGAGAGAAACATTAATGTGTGGTTGCCTCTCACACACCCGCAGGTGGGGACCTAGCCCACAACCCCCAGGCATGTGCCTTGACTGGGAATGGAACTGGCAACCCCCTGAGCCACTGAAAATATTTTTTATATTGGCTTAAATAATTTGTCATAGTGCATTTATCTCTAAAGAGGTGAAGTAGAATGTTGCTATGGAGAAAAGAAAGCATTCTTAAAACAAAAGCTACCTTGTGTTTTTAAAAGTTAAGTAAAAATTTCCTGTTGATCTTATAGTGGGACAGTGGTTTGCGGTTGCAAAGTGAACTGTAGATTTTATGATAAATATGTGATGTAAAAAAAGCTTTTAGAAAAATATTTATACAAACTAAGTTCATAACCATCCATTCTCTTTTTCTTGTTTGTACTGTAAATTTTATTTCTTTGTAAGGGTTTGGTCAAGTATCTTAAATGCTGAGCTTTTGATTTGTTTTAAAATTTGTGTACCCCTTATAAAAAGAAGGAATTCTTAAATTATGGGTCATGTTCCACTTAGTTTCTTTTTTCACCTTCCCTTAGGAAGGAATTATGTAAGATAACAGGGAAGTTAGAAAAGCAAGTAAGAAACTAGAAATCTTTTTTTTTTTTTACTTATCTCATAGAGTTTTTATTGTAAGATTGTTTTTACATGTACAATGATTTAACCAGTGTATATAGAATGTACTACATAAGTTTTTCTTGTTGTGATTATCCAGACACATTGGACTCACTTACCACTTCCCCCTTTAGATGTAGCTTTCCATCTTCCTTTTGTTCTTTTTATTTTTTTCAAATATGCTTAACATTTAATATTGTTTTGTACTAGTTTCAGGTGAACAACATACTGGTTAAACAATCCTATTTTTTACAAAGTATTTCCCTCAGTATTCCCAGTACCCACCTGGTACCATTCAGTTATTACAAACATCAATGTCTATATTTCCCTATGCTGTGCTTTATATATTTTTATATTTATATTATTGTTCAAGTACATTTGTCTCCCTTTTTCCACTTCAACGTCCTCCAACCCTACCGATTACCATTTACCATCCTCAATCATACCCACCTTGGTTTTGTCCATAAATCCTTTATACATTATCCTTGAGGACCTTTCCCCATTTTTCCCTGTTATCCTCTCAACCTCTCCTCTGATTACTGTCAGTTTGTTCTTTATTTCAATGTCTCTAGAAACTAGAAATCTTTTATATGACATAATTAGTTTAGAATGTGTTAAATTTTTTAAAATAAAATTTTAATCTTACTGTTCATCAGTGCACGTTGCTTTCAAATTCATTATTGATTAATTAGCTCACTGTTTTCACTAGGGTCATTAGATTCTTATTTTAGGATTCATAGATGTGTAACATTTAAATAGGCACGTCCATTATTACGTTTTCCATGTAATAATGGACGCGCCTATTCACTTACTTTTTTTTTTAAGTTTTCAGGCGTTATTTAAAGCACTAGGATCTAGTAGTCACACAGATGAAAAGTCACTTACCTGCTGAAAAGCTAGAGCATTTAGAAAATCATACCCTTTATGTTCTTTTAGTCCAGTTTCCGAATATGTGTCAAAAATGGTTAAATTGTATTTTGTAACAGTAGAAACAATAGGAGATGGAGCAGTGAAAACAATTTTGTTTGATTTAATTTAAGACAAAAACAATTGCTTACACCATGGTGGTAAGGTCTCAAGTTTAGAAATCTAAACTCGACCGACCTGCGGAAACTGAACTGTCGTGTTCTGAGCTATCATAGCTAAATTTACTGCGGTTTCAGACAACATGGTCATTGCTTTCTTAAACTTTGTTCACGAGAGCCTTGCAATGAAGGTACTAATATCCTATGTTACTGATAGGAAAACTGGAGTGTGCAAAGGTTGATAAGTGTCCAGGATCTCACTGAGTTGATGAAGAGATTTGAATATGGATACTCTGACCCACAGGCTATGTTTCTACTCACAACTCTAGGAAAATGCTGTTTTGCATTTTGAAGTTGACATAGAAAAGTGAAGACACTGTAAACATCATCCTGTTGTTAAAGGATTTATTTTTTTCTGCTACCTGGCAAGCTGTTTAGACCATGAAGTCTTTTCTGTTTCATTTTAGTGACACGGATTCTCATGTATCCAGTTCTACCTCAGTTCGATTTTATCCACATGATGTGGTAGGTTTTCCTTTATTTTTATAAAACAATGTATTTTCAGATTAAGTTGCTACACAAATCAGAAATGTATGAATTATGGTGAAAAATATGGCAAAATACTTTTGATATCCCATAGTGAATCTCTTCTGAGTAATCTTTTGTTAAACATAGAATACCATAAAGCTTAATTAGCTATATGGGAATCAGTTATTACTGTAATAACTGTATGGAAGGGTTCCTTTACTCACCAACGTCATAATCTGGTTGTGCTGTTTTTAATTGTTTCATTTAAAACTTTTCTTTGAATATTATGACTTTGGTGCAATTATTTATTGGTTAACTATTAGTTATTTATATACAAGTGTATGTGTTTTGGAAGCCTAGTGATGACTCACTGTATAAAAAATATGCCACATAAAATACAGTGGGGATATTTTAAAAAGATAACAGTGCCTTTGCCATCAGGATGTATATGTTGAAGGTGGAAAAGTCAAAATGGAGGAAACTCTTACAACTAACGCGTAAGAAATATAGGTAAATAAATATAGTGCCAAAGGGGTTAATAGCAGCTTCCTGAATATGAAAAGTAATGAACAGGGTTTTAAGACCATAGATGAAAGTTGGCCATAGAACAGAGGTTTTTAGCTAGTGGGCATTTAGCAAAGTCTGGAAACATTTTTGCTTGTCCCATCAGGGGAGAATTTTACTGGTAGCAGTGGACAGAGGCCAGGGACACTGTTAAACATCTTATAGTGGAGAGCACAACCCTTACAACGTAGAATTGTCTGGCTGACAATTTTTCTAGTGTCAAAGTTGAGAAACCCTGGCCAAGAGCATAAGAAAAGTGTTTCGGGGGAAGTTTTTGTGAATGCTAATGGATAGTGGCTATGTTATATATAGAGAGCACATTTTTTGACTATACTCAATATGTGTTTCAAAAATGAAAACTGTCCCTTTTTTGCTGTAGTGAATTCTTGGAGGCTCCATAGGGAAGTAAAATATGGGGAAATGGTATGGTTTTCTGATGTTAAATGTATGGGAGCCTTGAGTTAGCTAACTACTGGCTAGAGCTCTGCTAGATCCGGTAAACTTTTGATTCTTCCGGAGGAAGGGGAAATTTGTGAATTGGTGAGTGGATGAGTTACAGACAGCTAAAAGAAATGTCACGTGGTGATTTCCTGTGAAGCCTCCGATGAGCAGATGAGCAGTCAAAACAAAAAGGGGGGGATGTGGGGTATAGGAGGGGTTTGCAAACAATAATAACAGTGGTAAGAGACTGTGGTAGGTGAGAGCTGAAGGCATTGAATCCAATGCAGAGGAGTTTAGATTTAACATGGTAATGAGGTTCACAGCTTAGTAAGAAAAGACCATAAATGTGACAGGCAGTAGGGAAACCATTAACGATTCACTGTAAGTGATTTTAATGGATTTACTAGTTAAGCAGTCATAAACTGGTAAGATTTCAAATGCTCTTCTAACAGAGCCTTTCCAAAAAGACCTATTGATTAATCTGTTTTATTTCAGTTCTGTTCCTGTTGTCACCTTCTGTAGGTTCCAATGCTATAAAATACCCGCGAGGAGCGGACCTGCGTAAAGTTAAGGGGCTGAAATAGTCTGTAAGGTAGTCCAGTAGCCCTTGAATTGTGACTTGAGTAAAGATATTTTACGCCTTTCAACACTGACTTTCTTTTAGCTCTCTCTCCCACAGATTCGGTTAAACAGACTATTGACCATCGATACAGATTTGTTGGAGCAACAGGACATTGATCTAAGCCCAGACCTGGCAGCTACTTATGGCCCAACAGAAGAAGCTGCCCAAAAGGTTAAACACTACTATCGTTTTTGGATCCTGCCCCAGCTGTGGATCAGCATCAACTTTGACAGACTCACACTTTTGGCCCTGTTTGATAGGTAGGAATATAGTGTGATATTAAAGATGTATGCAGATTTTATTTTTGACTTGAAATGTCCCTACTAAGTAATTAACGTTAGTACTTATTTACCATGTTGGAAAATGTTTTCTGTTTTGGGCCTCTTGAGATAATGTCTAAGTTAATAGGGTTCTCATTTGAGACTCTCTTGAATTCATTAAAAACCTTTTTTGTGGCCAATTTTAATAGATGTTCACAAAAAATTTCTTTTTATCCTCAATAAGAATCATGCAACTGTACTTAAAATTCAGAGAAAATGATATGTTAATGATTTTCAGATTATAGATAACATGACCCCAAATATAAAAGGCATAATGGGAAACTTCTGTTTTCCTACTTCTTACCGCTAATTTTAATAATAAACAATATTAGCCCATTGTAAACTTGGTGACTAAATGCTACTTCTAGTCAACATGGAATAATAAGGACTGTCTTTGCCCTCCTACCTGAGACAATGAAAACCTGACACAATGTACGAAACAATGGTTTTCAAGACATTGGAAAGGAGACAACAAAGGATAGTGATTCCTGACAGACAATCACACGGAGCCGTACAGCTGCCCCAGCGCACTACCTTAGAGAGGCCCAGGCTGCAACACAGGGTGGAGGTGCTAAAGTAGGGCCTAGCAGGCTTCCCGTGTTGGAGGCGGAGCCAAGAGCCCATAGGACAGAATATCGGAGGAAAGATTACTGCTCAGAGAGAATCTCAGATCTGCAGTAGGTCCTCGACTGTTCAGAGTGTTGATAAGTGAATGTATGTGAAGGAACTACCTGAGGCCAGGGGAGGAACCATGTGAAAGAAACAGGAGCAGTGCCTGGCACTCACGCAGGGCCGGGAGGAGCACCTGTTCCCCCAGCCAGGTGGAAGGAGCCCATCATGCATATTGTGTGGTGCACTGTGTAGTTCACTCAGGAAAGTCTTGCCTTTGAAGTGCGGAATACTTAGTTCTGGCATGACTGACCACTGCTCCACACCCACCTAGCAAGTCATAAAAGTAAAACCTGAAAGGATCAAACTATTTCCAAGCAGCGTAGCAAAGCTCAAGAAGATTTGTAGAAATCCAGTAACTTAAGATTCACTATGTCTGGCATCCAGAGATTACCAGCCATGCAATGAAGGCACAAAACAGGACACGTGAGGGAAGCAGAGAGTCAGTTGAAACCAACCTGTAACTGTCACAGGTATTAGAATTAGTAGTAAAGACATTAAAACTGTTATAACTGTCCTTCATAATGTTTAAAAAGTTAAGCAGAAACCCAAATCAAACTTACAGGGATGAAAACTAAACTGTCTGAGATGAAAAGTACAATGGATGCTGGAATTACTGGATTTCCGTGTGCAAAAGAACTTGTATCCTTACCTTGCAGAATACTACAGGAGTTAATTCAAAATGGATCCTAGGCCTAAATGTAAAATCTAAAACAATAAAGTTTCTGGAAGAAATACATAGAAAATAATTGTGGCATTGAGTGAGGCAAAATTCCTTAGATGTAACACCAAAAATAAGATTAGTAAAAGAACAAATTGATAAACTGGATTTATCAAAATTAAAAACTAAAGAAAATCTAAAGAGAGCTGAAGTTCATGTCTAGTAGTATAGACAGTATGTAGTGTAGGAGGATTGATGGGGAACATTGGATTTGGCAAATCTGGAATCCTACAACTGCCATAGAAGATCAATGAAAATAGCAGTGTTTATTGTTTTGAAAATACTACAGCATTTGTTTTAACCTGGCAGAGCTAACAAATGAAATGGTACAGAGATGTTTGTGAATTTTGTTTTTAGGTCAGTTGATGACTGTAGATATGGCATTGATAACAAATGTTAAATAAAAATATTTTTATGATTAGAAGAGTAATTCTTTACTCATTATAGAAAAATATATAGAAAGATTTTAAGACAGAAAGAGATCATCCATAATCTTTCCACTCGGAGCTATTATAGTATCATTTTGATACATTGCCTTTTTCAACCCATATCTATATGTCTTTAAATAACAGAACATACATCCTCCTATACACAAGGTTTTGTGTCCTGCTGCTTTGTGTAGCATATGGGGTGAAGCATGTTCTCATGCCAGTATTCATTCTTTACAAATAAGACTTTTAGTAAGTATTTAACATTTTGTGAATAGAATTTCCCCAAGAAGTAGTGAGACCAGCTCTTATTTTTTGGTGTGACATAAACATCATCTTCATGACTCTGTGCAGTATTGTGGGCATCAGACCAGTTCGTCTGCAGAGACAGGACTGATGGTCTTCGTCACAGCCTTCGCTCTCGACATAACTGAGAGCCGGTGTTTGGGTTAACTGCAGTGAGTTACTCATCAGGTTATTTCAGAGGATTTAGAGATGGGAAAGTGAAACCACTTGGTATCAAAATTGGGCTACAAACTTTATCATATAAAAAAACTAATTTTCTAGACACTATTTTTGAGATTTTTTTTAAACTTGTTTTATTGTATAGCTCCTTAATTTGCCATCCAAGCTGGTTAATTATTTTGCAACAAATTTGACAGAAAAAGATGTTAAGAGTAAAGTTTTTAAAGTAGAAATTAAAGCTATGTTATGCATTAAAATGAAAACTTCACAGTCTACTATATTATGCATTATTGATTTTAATTTTCCACATAAACTAATTTCTTTTTCAGTGTGACCCAAAATCTTATTCAAACCTAGTACTAGAAAAAAAATCTCAGCAAGTATAATATGAACTTCATATTGATGCCTTCAATTATTTTTCCCTTATTTGATGCCTTCCCTTATTTTACTCTGATAAATTTCTCATATTGATGGTGTACTTACTCATAAATTTTCATGTCTACAGAAACCGTGAGATCCTGGAAAATGTGTTAGCTGTCATCCTGGCTATTCTAGTGGCATTTTTGGGATCTATTCTTCTCATACAAGGCTTCTTCAGAGATATCTGGGTCTTCCAGTTCTGCCTGGTGATAGCCAGCTGTCAATACTCACTGCTTAAGGTACCAGCATCTCTCTTCTTTATAGGCTATGGAATAATATTTGTGTTAAAAGGCAGAGGGTTTCATATCATTGACTGAATTATAAAAGGATATTAATTTTTTTAATTCTCATTGGATATTTAAACAAAAGGGACATATCAACTTTAAAAAATATAGTGCTATAAATGAAGCTTCCTTAAAACTATTTTTGGTATTAAAAGAAAATATTTGGGGAGTTCCGGCCAAGATGGAGGTGTAGGTAGAAACACTTTGCATCCTCACACAACCGAAAGAAGGATAACAACCAATTTAAAAACAATAAACAACCAAACTGCCAACAAATCAAATTGCATGGAACTCCAACAACCAAGGAGTTAAAGAAACATTCACCCAGACCGGTGGGATGGGTGGAGACAGGCAGCCAGCCGACAGAGAGGGCCTGCAGCAGGGCCCACTTGGGTGAGGAGGGGCTGGCTGACCAGGAAACTGAAGGCTCAGCACCTCTACCTGTAAAACACTGTGAGGGTTGCGAAGGTGGGAGAAACTCCAAGTCTCACAGGGACAGTTCATTGGAAAGTGGGGCTAGAGCAGACTGAGTGGCATTGTCTCCTCTCTGACCCCTCCCTCACAGACAGCATCACAATGCAGCAAAGAGAGTTGCCTCACCCTAGTGAATACGCCCCCTTACAACATAGGTATGTGAAGACAAAGAAATATGGTCCAGATGAGTGAACGGATCAGAACTCCAGAAAAAGAGCTAAGCAGCAAGGAGATAGACAACTTATCTGATGCAGGGTCCAAAACCCTGGTAATCAGGATGCTCACAGAATTTATAGAGTTCAGTCACAAAATGAAGGAAGAAACGAAGGCTACCCAAAGTGAAATAGAGCAAAATATACGGGGAACAAACAGTGAAGGGAAGGAAACCAGGACTCAAATCAATGATTTGTAACAAAAGGAATAAATAAACATCCAACTGGCACAGACTGAAGAAACAAGAATTCAAAATGTGAGGAGAGGCTAAGGAACCTCTGGGACAACTTTAAATGTTCCAACATCCAAATCATAGGGGTGCCAGCAGGAGAAAAGGAATAGCAAGAAATTGAAAACAATGAAGGGGAACTTCCCTAATCTGGCAAAGGAAATGGACTTCCTGGAAGTCTAGGAAGCCCAGAGAGTCCCAAAGAAAATGGACCCAAGGAGGAACACACCAAGACCCATCATAATTACATTACCCAAGATTAAAGATAAGGAGAGAATCTTAAAAGCAGAAAAGAAAAAGAGAAAAGCAGAGAGTTACCTGCAAAGCAGTGCCCATAAGAGTGTCGGCCTATTACTCAAAAGAAGCCTTACAGGCAAGAAGGGGCTGGAAAGAAATATTCCAAGTCATGTATGGTAAGGGCCTACATCCAAGATTACTGTATCCAGCAAAGCTATCCTTTAGAATGGAATGGCAGATAAAGTGCTTCCCAGATAAGGTCAAGTCAAAGGAGTTCATTATCAAGCCCTTATTATATGAAATGTTAAAGGGACTTATCTAAGAAAAAGAAGATCAAAACTATGAACAATAAAATGACAACAAACTCATAACGACCAACAACTGAACCTAAAAAAACTAAAATTAAGCAAACAACTAGAACAAGAACAGAATCACAGAAATGGAGATCATATGGAGGGTTATCAGTGGGGACAAGAAGGGGGAAATATGGGAGAAAAAGGTACAGGGAATAAGCATAAATGGTAGGTACAAAATAGATCAGGGGGAGGTTAAGAATAGTATAGGAAACGGAGAAGCCAAGGTACTTATATGTACAATCCATGGACATGAACTAAGAGTTGAAGTAAATGCAGGAGGGTTGGGGGTAGTGCAGGGCAGAGGCGGGAATAAAGGTGAGGAAAAAAGTGGGACAACTGTAATAGCATAATCAATCAAATATACTTAAAAAATAAAAATAAATTTGAATAAGATGTTTAAAGGAAAAAGAATATTTGGGTATTTGTTACAAATAAGAATTTGCGTTTTTGAAATTTCTTTCAATTTATCAACATTAACTCTCCTTCTATATTTTAAGTCTTTTATTCTGTAGGTGAAATTTATTAATGCCCACCATGGATAGGTACAAAAATGTCAGAACAAGTATATATGTTCCTTTGGGACATTGAAAACAGAAGATTGATGTCCTTTAGCTATTGTTTTAATATTGGCTATAAAATACCAAAATTTATCAATTTTAAGCTTTCTAAAAATGGGAGAATCAGGTAACAATTTTTTCTCCTGTGCAAAATCTGTGGACTGTCAGCATGGATTGTTTTCTTTCCTTCCTTTATTAATCATTAAATACTCCTGCCAGTACTGTTCATTTGCCTGATACATGCTGTCATGAAGAACACATCCTGAAAACTGTTGGTTTCATTGTATTTATACTGTCAGCTGGCCAGGTGTCTGTAGCGAGGCATCTGGAGGAAGCCACCTATGTCAGTGCTTCACTTCCTCAGGGCCCATCCATACTTTTCCCTCATTGCAGCACTGAGTTACAGTTTGTGGTTGCTAATAATCTCCAGTTGCCAAATCTGTTTCCTTTTTTTAGGCTTCATTCTCGGTGAATATTCACCTAACACCTGTGAATACTACCTTCTCTTTTTTATATTCTCATTGTTGTCTGTGACTTTATACTACCATGAAAATTATCCTACTTTTCAGATAACATTATTTTTCATTGTTGATGCCTATTTGTTCTTTTGACCACTTTTTAATTTATGAGAATTCTCAAGGGTTTTATTTGACCCTCTTCTCAATTTGCAATTCCTTGCCAGTGAAGTCATCCTGTTTTATTACTTTATTGGTTGTCCCATAAATGAATTATGTCCAGATTTATATCTCAAAGTCTTCACCTTTTTCTCACAAGCTTTAGTCCTACGTATCTAACAGGCACATTTTAAAAAATTAGCACATCATCATCTTCTGATATTTCCCTTTCTCAGTTGCTTTGCTTTTGACACTACTACACTGTTCAAAACCTTAGAGCCTCTACTCCTTCCAGGTTTTATTGATTAAGTGTGCTGATGCTTTGCTAAAATTTCTGGCCTTTGTTCTTGCTTTCCATTTCAACCACCTTAATTCATTTTTTTATTGCCTTAAAGCAGTTAAGTTCATTCCCTGGTTCCATTCTTCCCTGTCCGATTAATTTTGTCCACTGCTTTTAGGTTACTGTGGTTAGATATGGAAAAGGTAAAATATGACTGAGGTTTTTGAAATGAGTTAATTAGAAGAATAGTAATATCATAAACAGAAATAAGAAAGGTCTGAACAGATAGATGTTGAAATTGAGAGAATTTAAAGATTACCTTGTCTCCTGTCTAGCCGAGGGACATGTGCCAAACGCAGTAAAACTTGGCCCAATCTAGAATTGTACGATGATGATAGACCTTCCTAGAGCAATTGTGGGCTATGCTTTTGGAAGTGAACTGGAACTTGGGAGAAAAAGTCATGATTTGGGAAGTAACACCTTTTGAACATTTTTATGGAACGTTGATAAAGTCTCTTACAAAGATGTAGCCTAACTCATTTGACGATTTTGATGTGAGAATGCAGATGATATATTTGATATAAATAACATTGAACTGCATAGTAAACTTGGAATTTGTGGGCAGAACTAGAATTCTTACAAGCTCACCCATATTTTGTGCATTTCTTGAATGGAGTGGTGCTGCATTTGAAAGCGTTCTACCTAAAGTATGTGATTAACCACTGTGCTGCACATCTGAAACTGTTTGGCTTTATTGAGCATGAACTGTAATTGAAAAATAAGATGAAAAGAAAAGAAAGCATTCCTACCTTAACTTATTTACTCATGGTGATGAGTCAGGCATTAAGATGGATCTTTCCACCATGTGCCATTTCCAAAATGTTATGCTAGATGCAAATGATTAATTAACCACAAAAGGTAAGAGTCTGGAAAGATTTGAGATGTTTTTTAATACCACAGTCACACCACTATCTGGAGATGATATTTTGTGTTTTGTTGATTTTTCAGCAAAATTGATGTAGGTCATTTCTTAGCTGTGGAATACTTACTTGAAATTATTTCAGGCACTTGAAAGTTGCTTGTAACATTACCAGGACTTCAGTAGTGTAATCTCTCTTTCTGTTTTATTTTTAGAGTGTTCAACCAGATTCTTCTTCCCCCAGACATGTAAGTCACTCTAGTATCTCTTTAACATTCATCAAAACCTTTTTTTAGGTCATATGTCAGATTGAATTAAGATTTATGTTATTACATTCTCACCTAAGTTTTGACACACTACTAGAAATACAGGTAGAAATACACCTGTAGAAATACAGGTGATGTGTTAACATGAAGTAAAATGACAGTGTCATTGTGGACTCTAAGTCTTGGTTGGAAATGAGCATAATTCATTTACGACAGCCCATTGCAGGTGGAGGCCTGCAGTTAAGTAGACATGGTTCATACAGACTCATGGTTATTTGATGACTTGTATTACATAAATTTTGAACAATAAGTCATGAGTAAGTATTGAAAAATAGAATGTTGAAGTAGGAAAAACTTTATATTATTTTGCTTAAGTAATCATTAAGAGCCAGAATAAAGAAGTAATAAATTGATTTGATGTTTAGACCTGTGGACACTAAGAAGATTAAAAATGTTGTTACTCACTTTGGGACTTTTAGACAGAAGTATTAGCTACCTAACACTATTTATTGTAAAGCATGATTTAGTTTTAGACCTCACCCTAGAATATTTACTTACTAGAAAGAAGCAAAGGGCATTCTCTTCAAAGTAGTTCAAAATGAGACTCCAAAAACACTTTAAGTGATGCCTTCTTCCTTGAATAGAGGTATTATTTTGGGCCATGCACTGGGACACTTAATACTGCGAATAGATGGGCAAAATACAACAAGGAGGCACATGATTTTCTTTCAGCTGCTTATTATTTTGTAAAAATGCTTTTGAAATATAATGATATGTGAAATTGCTGGCTTTAACTTTGTATTTTGACCTAATTTCAGGCTTAGGGAAAATTTGCAAGGGTTGTACAAAGAATTGCTGATGCCATTTGCCCAGAGCCCTGTGTAAACAGTTCTCCATATCTGCTTGCTCCTTTCTAGTTCTCTCCCCTCTCCTTCCACGCATACTCCCTCACTCTCACACATACACACTCTTTCCAAACTGTTCGAGAGTGAATTGTAGACACGATGCCCCCTATGTCTTTGTTTCCTAGCAACAAAGGTAATTATTTACATTAATTCAATATAATTATCAGAATCAGGACATTAACATTGATACAATACTGTTTTCTAAGCTACAGTTCTTACTCGGGTGTTTCCTATTTTCTTAATTGGCAATAAAACATCCCTGATTATGCATTTGGTTTATTTAGCCTGCTTCAATCTGGAGCAGTTTGTTGGCATTTTTGGTGGTTACCAGCCAGGTGTTTTCTAGACCATCCTTCAGTTTGAATGTGTCTATTTCTTCTTGATTGGATACAGGCCATGCTTTTTTGGTAAGAACACTACAAAAGTGGTGTGTTCTCAGTGCATCACTTCAGGAAGCACATGGCACTGATTGATTGTTTTGTTGGTGATGTTAACTCATGTTTTGGCTAAGGGTAGTGTCTGCAGGGTATTTTCCCTCTGCAATATGAACATTTTGGGCTAGATAATCTTTCTTGTAGATTAGGGTGCTGTCCTATAGGGCACAGGGTATTACATGGCATTTAGCTTTATCTCTGATCTCCACCCACTAGATGTCAGTACCCCCACCCCAACTGTGACGACCAGAATGTCTCCACACATTGCCAAATGTCCCCTGGGGGTCAAAATCCCCTCCCACCCCCTTGAGAACCTCTATGCTACTGTGATGTTATTATTTTTCTTTTGTAGTTAAATATCTTGCAGGCAGATACTTGAGATAATATATATGTTCATTTGCCCCTCAGACTTGCACCCACTTGTTTTTAATATTTATTGATGTTTCTTGCCTGAACCATCATTTGATTTTTGCCAAATAGTAATTTTCTAGTTACATCATTCCTTCTAAGTGTATTTGTTGACTTTTTACCATAAAGAATAACTTCTTCTCTATTTTTTAAAATAATTTTATTTAGTTATTTTTCAAGTACAGTTTTTTTGTCTATTTCTCCCATCCCAGCCCCCCTGCCCCGTGCTCCCCACCTCCCTCCCATTTCCACCCCCCTTACTTCTCATCCCTGTGTTCTTCATATTTGTTCCTCCAAATCTCTCCTCGTTTTCCCCCTTAAATTCCCTTCCCTCTCCCCTCTGGTCACTGTCCCCTCGTTCTCTATTTCAGTGTCTTTGTTTTTATTCTGCTTGCTTGTTTGTTTTGTTGTTTAGCTTCCTGTTAAAGGTGAGATCATATGGTATTTGTCTTTCACCACCTGGCCTATTTCACTCAGCATAATGCTTTCCGGTTCCATCCATGTTGTTGCAAAGGGTAGTAGCTCCTTCTTTCTCTCTGCTGCATAGAATTCCATTGCGTATATGTACCACAATTTTTTGATCCATTCATTTACTGACAGGCACCTAGGTTGCTTCCAACTCTTGGCTATTGTAAATTGTGCTGCTATGAACATTGTGGTGCATAGGTTCTTTGAAATGGATGTTTTAGGATTCTTAGGCTATAATCCTAGCAGTGGAATTGCTGGGTCAAAGGGCAGGTCGATTTTTATTTTTCTGAGAAAATTCCATACTGTTTTCCATAACTAGTGGGGTTGTACCAGTCTGCAGACCCACCAACAGTGAACTAAGGTCCCCTTTTCCCCACAACCTGTCCAACATTTGTTGTTTGTTGCTTTTTTTATGATAGCCATCCTGACCAGTATAAAGTGATATCTCATTGTGGTCTTAATTTGCATCTCTCTGATAGCTAGCAATATTGAGCATCTCTTCATGTGTCTCTGGATCTTCTGTATGTCCTCCTTGGAGAGGTGTCCAAGTCCTTTTCCCATTTTTTTAATTGGGTTAGTTGTCTTCTTAGAGTGCAGTAGTGTGAGTTCCTTGTATATTTTGGAAATTAAACCTTTGTCTGAGGTATCATTGGCAAATATGTTTTCCCATACAGTTGGTTGTCTTCTTAATTTAATACTGTTTATTTTTAGCCACCCAGAAGCTTTTTATTTTGATGAGATTCCCATTTGTTTATTCTTTCCTTTATAGTCCTTGCTCTAGGGGACATATCGGTAAAAATGTTGCTGCGTGAAGAAATATCTGAGATTTTCTTGCCTATGTTCTCCTCTAGGACTTTAATGGTGTCACGACTTACATTTACTTTTATTCACCTTGAGTTTATTTTGGTGTATGGTGTAAGTTTGTGCTCGTTTCATTTTTTTTGCACGTAGCTGTCCAGTTCTCCCAACACCATTTGTTAAAGAGGCTGTCTTTACTCCATTTTATGTTACTGCCCCCTTTGTCGAAGATTAATTGACTGTAGAGAGTTGGGTTGATTTCTAGGCTCTCTGTTCTGTTCCATTGGTCTATGTGCCTGTTTTTATGCCAGTACCAGGCTGTTTTGATTACAGTGGCCTTGTAATACAGTTTGATATCAGGTATTGTGATTCCTCCTACTTTGTTCTTCTTTCTCAAAAGCGCAGCTGCTATTCGGGGTCGTTTATGGTTCCATATAAATTTTTGAAGTGTTTGTTCTATGTCTGTGAAATACGCCATTGGTACTTTAATAGGTATTGCATTGAATCTGTATATTGCTTTGGGTAGTATGGACATTTTGATGAGGTTAATTCTTCCAGTCTATGAACAAGGTATATGTTTCCATTTGTTTGTGTCTTCCTTGATTTCGTTCTTCAGGGCTGTGTAGTTTTCTGCATACAGGTCTTTTACCTCCTTGGTTAGGTTTATTCCCAGATATTTTATTTTTGTTTTTGCTATATCGAATGGGATTTTTTCCTTGATTTCTGCTTCTCCTGATTCCTTGTTGGTATACAAAAATGCCTTTGATTTCTGGATATTGACTTTGTAACCAGCTGTTTTGCCAAATTCATTAATTAGTTCGAGCAGTTTTTGGGTAGCGTCTATAGGATTTCCCATGTACACTATCATGTCATCTACAAACAGTGACAGTTTTGTTTCCTCCTTTCCTATTTGGATGCCTTTTATTTCCTTTTCTTGCCTAATCACTGTGGCCAAAACGTCCAAAACTATATTGAATAGAAGTGGTGAAAGTGGACATCCTTGTCTTTTTCCTGATCTTTGTGGAAAAGCTTTTAGTTTTTGCCCATTGAGTACGATATTGGCTGTAGATCTCTCATATATGGCCTTTATTATATTGAGGAATGCTCCCTCTATTCCCACTTTGCTGAGTGTTTTTTATCATAAATGGGTGTTGTACCTTATCAGAAGCTTTTTCAGCGTCTATTGATATGATCATGTGGTTTTTGTCTTTGCTTTTGTTTATGTGATGTATTACATTTACTGATTTGTGAATGTTGAACCATCCTTGCATCCCTGGGATGAATCCCACTTGGTCATGGTGTATGATCTTTTTGATATATTGTTGGATGCGATTTGCCAATATTTTGTTGAGGATTTTAGCGTCTATGTTCATCAGCGATATTGGTCTGAAGTTCTCTTTCTTTGTTGTGTCTCTATCTGGTTTTGGAATTAGGACGATGCTGGCTCATAAAAAGAATTTGGGAGTTTTCCATCCTTCTGGATTTTTTGGAATAGTCTGTGAAGAATAGGGCTTATCTCTTCCTTAAATGCTTTGTAGAATTCTCCTGTGAAACCATCTGGTCCAGGGCTTTTTTGTGATGGGAGTTTTTTGATTACTGCTTCAATTTCTTTTGCTGTTATTGGTGTGTTCAGATTTTCTGTTTTTTTTTTTTTTTTATTAAGTTTTGGAAGATTATATTTTTCTAGAAATGTGTCCATTTCCCCTAGGTTTTCAAATTTCTTGGTGTACAGTTCTTCGTAGTAATTTCTTACAATCCCTTGTATTTCTGTGGTATCAGTTGATACCTTTCCTCTTTCATTTCTGATTGTGTTTATTTGTGTCCTCTCTCTTCTTTTCTTGATGAGCCTACTTAAAGGCTTGTCTGTTTTGTTTATCTTTTCAAAGAACCAGCTCCTGGATTCATTGATCCTTAGGATTGTGCTTTCAGTCTCTATGTCATTTAGTTCTGCTCTAATCTTGGTTATTTC